CTGATCTGTGACTGAATGTCTGACTTGATGTTTGCTTGATATCTCACCTGATCTGTGACTGAATGACTTGATGTTTGCTCGCTATCTCACCTCATCTGTGACTGAATGTCTGACTGGATGTTGGCTCGCTATCTCACCTGATCTGTGACTGAATGTCTGACTTGATGTTTGCTTGATATCTCACCTGATCTATGACTGAATGTCTGACTTGATGTTTGCTAGCTATCTCACCTGATCTGTGACTGAATGTCTGACTTGATGTTTGCTTGCTATCTCACCTGATCTGTGACTCGGTGTCTGCCTTGATGTTTGCTTGATATCTCACCTGATCTGTGACTGAATGTCTGACTTGATGTTTGTTCGCTATCTCACCTGGTCTGTGACTGAATTTTTGACTTGATGTTTGCTCCCTATCTCACCTGATCTGTGACTGAATGTCTGACTTGATGTTTGCTCGCTATCTCACCTGATCTGTGACTCAGTGTCTGCCTTGATGTTTGCTTGATAGCTCACCTGATCTGTGACTGAATGTCTGACTTGATGTTTGCTTGATATCTCACCTGATCTGTGACTGAATGTCTGACTTTATGTTTGCTTGATATCTCACCTGATCTGTGACTGAATGTATGACTTGATGTTTGCTTGATATCTCACCTGATCTGTGACTGAATGTCTGACTTGATGTTTGCTTGATATCTCACCTGATCGGTGACTGAATGTCTGCTTGATAGCTCACCTTATATGTGACTGAATGACTGACTTGATGTTAGCTCGCTATCTCCCCTGATTTGTGACTGAATGTCTGACTTGATGTTTGCTGGAATCTCACCTGATCTGTGACTTAATGTCTGACGATGTTTGCTGGAGGCTTACCTGATCTTTGACTGAATGTCTGATTTGATGTTTGCTTGATATCTCACCTGATCTGTGACTGAATGACTGACTTGATGTTTGCTTCATATCTCACCTGAATGTGACTGAATGTCTGACTTGATGTTTGCTTGATAGCTCACCTTATCTGTGACTGAATGACTGACTTGATGTTTGCTCGCTATCTCCCCTGATTTGTGACTGAATGTCTGACTTGATGTTTGCTGGAATCTCACCTGATCTGTGACTTAATGTCTGACTCGATGTTTGCTTGATATCTCACCTTATCTGTGACTGAATGACTTGATGTTTGCTCACTATCTCTTCTGATTTGTGACTAAATGTCTGACTTGATGTTTGCTGGAATCTCACCTGATCTGTGACTGAAATTCTGACTTGATGTTTGCTTGCTATCTCACCTGATCTGTTACTCAGTGTCTGCCTTGATGTTTGCTGGATATCACCTGATCTGTGACTGAATCTCTGACTTGATGTTTGCTTGATATCTCACCTGATCTGTGACTGAATGTCTGACTTGATATTTGCTTGATATCTCACCTGATCTATGACTGAATGTCTGACTTGATGTTTACTCGCTATCTCACCTCATCTGTGACTGAATGTCTGACTTGATGTTTCCTTGCTATCTCACCTGATCTGTGACTCAGTGTCTGCCTTGATGTTTGCTTGATATCTCACCTGATCTGTGACTGAATGTCTGACTTGATGTTTGCTTGATATCTCACCTGATATGTGACTCTGTGTCTGCCTTGATGTTTGCTGGATATCTCCCTTGATCTGTGAATGAATGTTTGTTGACTTAGTGTCTGCCTTGATGTTTGCTAGATATCTTCCCTGATCAGTGACTGAATGTTTGTTGACTAAGTGTCTGCCTTGATGTTTGCTGGATATCTCACCTGATCTATGAATGAATGTTTGATGACTAAGTGTCTGCCTTGATGTTCGCTGGATATCTCACCTGATCTGTGAATGAATGTTTGATGACTAAGTGTCTGCCTTGATGTTTGCTAGATATCTTCCCTGATCAGTGACTGAATGTTTGTTGACTAAGTGTCTGCCTTGATGAATGCTGGATATCTCCCCTGATCTGTGAATGAATGTTTGATGACTAAGTGTCTGCCTTGATGTTCGCTGGATATCTCACCTGATCTGTGAATGAATGTTTGATGACTAAGTGTCTGCCTTGATGTTTGCTAGATATCTTCCCTGATCAGTGACTGAATGTTTGATGACTCAGTGTCTGCCTTGATGTTGCAGGACAAGTTCACGAGGAGGCCGACTTGTGCAAGAAAAGTGTCGACGAACTGAAACCTCACCGGGGCAAAGATCACACGCCTGGGGACAACAGCCAGGACAGGTTACTGCAATCATTCCGTTTGTTAACTCCTTTTTCGTGGGCTGTTTAGGCATTTGCTACATTTATTTAAAGTATTTTAGTGTCCTATATTGGCCAAAGTTTTTAGGCTGGAACAAGCATCATTTCTAGATTTTTTTGTACAACTGGGTTTGATTTCCAGGTCCTTGGTGTCTCACATGGGCACCAGGGAATGTTTTGTGACACTAGCAGACTCTGAAGGTCGAGCACAGAGCACCTTCCCTATACTATACACTTGTAAAATATGTGAGTCTGTGCGTTAATAAACGTGAACACAGAAAGCGTTAGCCAATTGTATATTTCTCATTGTTTACCTGGGCGGGTTGGCTTGGAGACACAACATTAACCAACAACTTAGAGCAGACCTGACCTGTAAAGCTTCGATTTTACGAGACAATCCAGGACCTGGTATTTCCCGAGATATTTTCTTGCAGTTTAGACTGGATCTAGATGGGAAGCAAGGATGTTGAACTCGTTCCGAGCCCAAAGAGATGTGTCCTATGTGTCAAAAAGATCGGGAGGTAGACGTAACATACATTGCACTTTTGTCATGTGTGGTCCTGTATGTGGCAGGAGGACAGACCAGCACACAGGTACTTATTGACACTGTTAGGCGCATGGGCACACCCACCATATACAATGTATTGTGGGAGGGGGTGTATTGAGCACAGCTTAACCACTGCAGGAAGCTCGGGGTGGGGGAGGGGGTGTCAGTGTGGCCCGAGGCAGAGGTGGCCGAGGGGGGTGTCAGTGTGGCCGAACCCCGAGGCTGGGAGGCGCGGGGAGAGGAGGGGGGGGGGGGGTCAGGGGTTTTGTGAAAGTGGTCACAGGGGCAATGATGGTGGTGGGGTGATTATGACGATGCTGATGATAATGATGCTGATGATGATGATGACAATGATGATGACGATGATGATGATGATGATGATGATGACGATGACGATAGCTGTGACATTTCCAGTCATGTCACAAGCTGACTGACAGCAATGCTGGACAATCAGAACCAGTGCAACACCAAAGTGTCCAGATGCACAGACAGGCCGTGCACTCAGAGAGAACACGTGACTTTCTTCGTTTGTAGAAACATTCTACTGGCACAGTTGATTGGTGGGGCTTGATTGTTTCTGCAGCCTCCGTGGTGTAGCGGCTAAACCGCTCGCCTGCAGATTGGAAGATCATGTGTTCGCATTCTGACGGAGCCTGATTTGTTCAAAAAAAGCATTTTCTTCAAGGTCGACCCAGTCTTGAATGGGTACCAGGGCAGAGTCCTGGAAAGTAAAGGCGACCGGTGTGATGTTGACCACACGTCCCACCAAGTGCCACGTGGCCTATACAATATAAGTCTAGCCCTATATGCCCAATACGCCCGAAAGAGTGGAAAAAGGGAACCTGACTTGACTGTGTCTGGTCTGCGACTAGGTCAGTGATCATGGCCATCAATGACGGCATCAAGAAGCTGAAGACAGACAACGACATTCTCCGGGACAAGCTCAAGAAGGCTCAGAAACAATCTCACCAGGTGACCAATGACCAGGACCACAAATATGACCAGTTACAGGTGAGCAGAATGTTTGTTCATGTATTGTCAGTTGTCAGAGGTAGCCTTGCCAGGTGAGCAGACCGTTTGTTCATGACTTGTCAGTTGTCAGAGGTAGCCTAACGAGGTGAGCAGATCGTTTGTTCATGTCTTGTCACTTGTCAGAGGTAGCCTTGCCAGGTGAGCAGACCGTTTGTTCATGACTTGTCAGTTGTCAGAGGTAGCCTAACCAGGTGAGCAGATCGTTTGTTGATGTCTTGTCAGTTGTCAGAGGTAGCCTAGCCAGGTGAGCAGACCGTTTGTTCATGTCTTGTCACTTGTCAGAGGTAGCCTAACCAGGTGAGCAGATCGTTTGTTCATGACTTGTCAATTGTCAGAAGTAGCCTAGCCAGGTGAGCAGACCGTTTGTTCATGTCTTGTCAATTGTCAGAAGTAGCCTAGCCAGGTGAGCAGACCGTTTGTTCATGTCTTGTCAGTTGTCAGAGGTAACCTAGCCAGGTGAGCAGACCGTTTGTTGATGTCTTGTCAGTTGTCAGAGGTAACCTAGCCAGGTGAGCAGACCGTTTGTTCATGTCTTGTCAGTTGTCAGAGGTAACCTAGCCAGGTGAGCAGACTGTTTGTTCATGTCTTGTCAGTTGTCAGAAGTAGCTTAGCCAGGTGAGCAGACCGTTTGTTCATGACTTCTCAGTTGTCAGAGGTAGCCTGGCCAGGTGAGCAGACCGTTTGTTCATGACTTCTCAGATGTCAGAGGTAGCCTGGCCAGGTGAGCAGACCGTTTGTTCATGTCTTGTCTGTTGTCAGAGGTAGCCTAGCCAGGTGAGCAGACCGTTTGTTCATGTCTTGTCAGTTGTCAGAGGTAGCCTAGCCAGGTGAGCAGACCGTTTGTTCATGACTTGTCAGTTGTCAGAGGTAGCTTAGCCAGGTGAGCAGACCGTTTGTTCATGTCTTGTCAGTTGCGACTAATGTTTAAATGTAGGCCTACAGTAAATATCCTTTATCCCATGTGGGTAGGGACTCTTTGGCATAAATGTAGTAATCACATTCTTCGTCAGTTACTTCCTTAACGATTCCGTCAGTTAGTTCCTTAACGATTCCATGAACGACAATTGTTAATGCATCAGATATAGTTGTCCCGAGTAGTCTAAGATGTTTGTGTGATCTCCCTGCCACGCACCAATGACTGTTTGGCCTCCTCAGAACATGGACTCTGAGAACTGGAAGCTGGAGCAAGAGTTGAACAAGCTGGAGCGGGAGAAGCAGAGCCTACTGGCCAAGCTGAAGAGTCAACAGAAGGACTACAACCGTCTGGACAAGCAGCATCAGCAGTTGCGTCAGGACAACGCCTTGTTGATACTCAAGGTGAGACTATCATCATGTTGTAGGTAACATTGGGCCATCACTGGTACACCTTCAATGGTACACCTTCACTGGTACACCATCACTTGTAAACAATCACTGGTACACCATCACTGGTAAACAATCACTGGTACACCATCACTGGTAAACAATCACTGGTACACCATCACTGGTACACCATCACTGGTACACCATCACTGGTAAACAACCACTGGTACACCATCACTGGTAAACAATCACTGGTACACCATCACTGGTAAACAATCACTGGTACACCATCACTGGTAAACAATCACTGGTACACCATCACTGGACACCATCACTGGTACATCATCACTGGTAAACAATCACTGGTACACCATCACTGGTAAACAATCACTGGTACACCATCACTGGTAAACAATCACTGGTACACCATCACTGGTACACCATCACTGGTACACCATCACTGGTAAACAATCACTGGTACACCATCACTGGTATACAATCACTGGTACACCATCACTGGTAAACAATCACTGGTACACCATCACTGGTACACCATCACTGGTAAACAATCACTGGTACACCATCACTGGTAAACAATCACTGGTACACCATCACTGGTAAACAATCACTGGTCCACCATCACTGGTAAACAATCACTGGTACACCATCACTGGTAAACAATCACTGGTACACCATCACTGGTAAACAATCACTGGTCCACCATCACTGGTAAACAATCACTGGTACAACCATCACTGGTAAACAATCACTGCTCACTGTACACCATCACTGGGACACCATCACTGGTAAACATCTGTATCACATGGTAAACAATCACTGGTACACCATCACTGGTAAACAATCACTGGTACACCATCACTGGTAAACAATCACTGGTACACCATCACTGGTACACCATCACTGGTAAACAATCACTGGTACACCATCACTGGTATACAATCACTGGTACACCATCACTGGTAAACAATCACTGGTAGTCCATCACTGGTAAACAATCACTGGTACACCATCACTGGAAACCAATCACACTGGTACCACTCCATACTGGTAAACAATCACTGGTACACACCATCACTGTAAACATCACTGGTACACCATCACTGGTAACCATCACTTAACGCATCTGGTACCCATCACTGGTAAACAATCACTGGTCCACCATCACTGGTAAACAATCACTGGTACACCATCACTGGTACACCATCACTTGTAAACAATCACTGGTACATCATCACTGGTAAACAATCACTGGTACACCATCACTGGTAAACAATCACTGGTACACCATCACTGGTAAACAATCACTGGTACACCATCACTGGTAAACAATCACTGGTACACCATTACTGGTAAACAATCACTGGTAAACAATCACTGGTAAACAATCACTGGTAAACAATCACTGGTACACCATCACTGGTACACCATCACTGGTACACCATCATTGGTACACCATCACTGGTACACCATCACTGGACACCATCACTGGTACATCATCACTGGTACATCATCACTGGTACACCATCACTGGTACACCATCACTGGTACAACTTCACTGGTACACCATCACTGGTACACCATCACTGGTACATCATCACTCACTGGTACTCCATCACTGGTACAACTTCACTGGTACACCATCACTGGTACAACTTCACTGGTACACCATCACTGGTAAACAATCACTGGTACACCATCACTGGTACACCATTACTGATACACCATCACTGGTACACCATCACTGGTACATCTTCACTGGTACAACATCACTGGTACACCATCACTGGTACACCATGACTGGTACACCATCACTGGTACACCTTCACTGGTACAACATCACTGGTACACCATCAATGGTACACCATCACTGGTACAACATCACTGGTACACCATCACTGGACACCATCACTGGTACACCATCACTGGTACACCATCACTGGTACAACTTCACTGGTACACCATAACTGTTACACCATCACTGGTACACCATCACTGGTACACCATCACTGGACACCATCACTGGTACATCATCACTGGCACACCATCACTGGTACACCATCACTGGTACACCTTCACTGGAAACCATCACAGGTACACCATCACTGGTACACCATCACTGGTAAACCATCACTGGTAAACAATCATCACTAGTACACAATAATTACTGGTACACAATCACTGCTGTTAGCACAACATCTGTCATAGTAGCTGCAAAGACAAACAACGTTTACAGCTAAAATAACAACAACAGTAACTACAACTACTACTACTACTTCTACAACTATTACTACTACAGCTACAATAGCAACGACTGTGGCTGAAACTAACAGTACTATTACAGAAATTACTACTACATCTAGAATAAACAACTATGAGGGGGAAAAAAACAACAACAACAACTACTACTACTACTACTACTACTACTACTACTACTACTACTACTACTACTACTACTACTACTACTACTACTACTACTACTACTACTACTACTACTACTACTACTACTACTACTACTACTACTAATACTACTACTACTACTACTACTACTAATACGAATACTAACACTGTTACTACTTAAAATTACTAAAGCTACTACTACTTTTACTTCATGTTCTCCAATCGCTACTGCTATTGCTACTTCTAACTTTTACAAGTGCTGCTTTTGGTACTACTACTACAACTGCTGCTGCTACTACAACATTGTCTTCAACATCGTATTCTACAAATACTATCACTATTACTACAGCTGCTATTAAGTATATTAGTACTGCTCTCACCACAGTTAGTAGTAGTATCACTGTTGCTTCCACTGATGCAACCATTTCTGTTTCTAAGACTGCGGCGGTTAAGGATGTAGTTACTATCACTAAACATGCTAACATTGGTAGGAACATGACTGTTTTGCCGATGATTCCAAAGAAAGAGTGGATGACGCTGTCAGATGATGCTGTTAGCAGTAGAAGAGAACTGATTTCCCACATCAGAGGATCCCAACCTAAATTGGATGTGGTGACATGTTTATGACCGAAGGAGAAAGAAACTGTAGCACATCGTGACAGTATGATGCTTGTTAGACAGGAGAAGGCAGAAGGGGATACAGAGAGAAAAGGGAGAGGCTGGACACTTCTGACATCATGTGCATGAGAAGGAGAAATCTGTAGCAGATCGTGACAGTAGAAAGTACAGGAGACAGGCAGATTGTGCAGATAGAACAGATGCTACCGACGCCATCACGTCATGAAGGTTCATCTGTGTCAGAGTTGACTGAAAGTACAGGAGGCAGAAGGTTGTGGATAGACATGACTACCGACGCCACATGGCATGAAGGATCATCTGTGTCAGAGTTTTGTGAAAGTACAGGAGACTGAAGGTTGTGGATAGACATGACTACCCACTCCACACAGTGTGGACTTTAGTGATTAAGTTAGCCGACAGATTTTCCCCATTGCACATAGAACCGCTCAGTTCATAAGTGCTCGGATCCCCTCTTCGGTCAATCCCCCAGCGTGTAGCTTCTCCCCACACCAGTTCTGGGTTGGTTTATTTTTCTTCTTTAACTTCCTGCACACGGCTCTAGTCTGGCTGACCGCTTTTAACATGCTGTTCGTGCAGTCTGGTCATGGTTGCAGATTCACCTTCATCACTTGGTTCTCGCAAAAGTATCACTTCTCGTATCATCCTGGTCCATGATTTATCTGCCCTTCACAGTAGCTTCACCTGCAAGCCGATCAGCATGCTCATTTCCTTGCACGCCTGCGTGTCCTGGCACAAATATGACACTAATATGTGTCAGCCCAGACCACTTTACAGACTCCATCCACCGTCTTTCGGATCCAGCCTTTCTCTATCTTCCTGAGCATACTCATTGTCTATCTCTCCTGCTACTTCTCGAGTCGCTACTGTTGTTGCTACTTCTAAAATCTCTTCTGCCACTTCTCCAATGATTACTGTTTCTGCTACTTCTACTATAATTCCTGCATTTTCTGCAGTTACTATTGTTGTTGCTACGTTAATCACCTCTCCTGACACTTCTCTTATGCTTCTGCTGTTGCGATGTGCGCTATCTCTCCTGCTACTTCTCCAGTTGATACTGCTATTGCTACTTTTACTGTCTCTCCTACTACTTCTCCAAAGGCTACTGCTGTTGCTACTTCTACCATCTCTCCTATTACTTCAGCAATCGCTACTACTGTTGCTACTTCTACCATCTCTGCTGCAACCTCTCCAACCTCTACTGCTATTGCTACTTCTATCTCGCCGGCCAGTTCTCCAATCACTACTGCTGTTGCGACGTGCACCATCTCTCCTGCTACTTCTCCAATCGTAACTGCTATTGCTACTTCTAACGTGTCTCTTGCTACTTCTCAAATCGCTACTGCTGTTGCTACTTTTAGCATCTCTGCTGTTAAGCCTGCTGTCGCTATTTCTCCTGCTACTTCTTCTATTGTTACTGCTGTTGCTACATCTACCATTTCTTCTGCTACCTCTGCAGTCAGTACTGCTGTCGCTACTTCTGCCATCGGTCCTGCTACTTCTCCAGTCGCTGCTGCTGTTGCTGCTTCTGCCATTCTCCTACTACTTCTCCAATCGATACTGATGATGCTACTTCTACCATCTCTCCTGCTACTTTTTCAATCGCTACTGCTATTGCTATCTCTACCCATTCTCCTGCTACATCTACATCTCTGCTGTTGTTGTTACTTCTACTTTACTAATGCTGCTGCAACTTTTTAATAAAAAGATAAAGCGTCAGTCACGTTGTAAACGATTTATCAATATAAACTGGCTGGTAACCTTATACTGATGCTTGTGCAGGCCAACGACACTGAGGCACAGAGCCAGTACCTATCCAGCGACCTGCTGAAGCTGCAGTCAGAGAACGGGCGCCTGCTGGTGCTGCTAAACCAGCGTGAGAAGGAGATCATACATCTGAAAGGTCCGGACCAAGATATGCTTCACGAGATCAATATGCTCAAGGAGGAGGTTACGCTTCTCCGGACACAGACTCGCCGGCAACAAGAAGAAAAGGTCAGTCAGACACCATTGTAGCGTTTTAATCTGATCCATCTCAGGATAAGACTGATCTCCTTGTTTCTCACACAAGCCAGGATGTCACGTCTACTGCACATTAGCTTTGTAATAATATCCTCTCTTGCATTCTCCAGGCAATGTTGAAAGGCAAAAGCCAGAAACTCGAGGCCAGTTTGGACGATTCATATAATCAGAAAAACAAACTGGCAGCTGAGAAAGAAAAGCTACAGGAGGAAAATGAAGATGTGAGTACACTTTACTTAATTGTACCCTGAATTATCTTTCTGTAGTCACACCCGTAATATATGACTCTCCAGTCACTTGTCAACTCTCCAGTCACTTGTCTCAACTCTCCAGTCAGTTGTCTGAACTATTCAGTCAGCTGTCTCAACTCTCCAGTCACTTGTCTAAACTCTCCAGTCACTTGTCACAACTCTCCAGTCCCTTGTCACAACTCTCCAGTCACTTGTCTTAACTCCCAAGTCACTTTTATCAACTCTCCAGTCACTTGTCACAACTCTCCAGTCACTTGTCACAACTCTCTAGTCACTTGTGACAAACTCTACAGTCACTTGTCACAACTATCCAGTCACTTTTCACAACTCTCCAGTCATTTTTCTCAACTTTCAAGTCACTTGCCACAACTTACCAGTCACTTGTCACAACCCTCTGCAGGCAGTTGTCACAACCCTCTAGTCACTTGCCACAACTTTGCTGTCATGTGTCATAACTCCCCAGTCACTGGTCACAACTCCCCAGTCATTGGTCACAAATCCCCAGTCATTGGTCACAAATTCCCAGTCACTGGTCACAACTCTGTAGCACCATATATTTGCTACATAAATGACTTGTTTCAGAGATTGCCCCCCCCCCCCACCCCTCCCCCCCCTTTTCCCCCAAATAAAACATTCTACATTTTTTATTTAGAAAAGAGAAAAGAAAAAGCTGACAACTGATGTGACACCGCAGTCAAGACAGTCAGATGTCATATTACTATTCTCACTGAAGTGTTAGGTGTTTCAAACACATTCGCACACACACGACCGAGCCGTGTGCTGCAGGAGCTAGTACATTATCCTACAAGACCAGCTGGTCAATTTGTCTGTTCAGTTTTAAACTTTTATTCAGGTTGCAACTGATGAAAGTATTGCAACATTTCCTTGGCTGTTGGCGATAGGAACCGAGCGTCTGTGAAAATGTTCCAAGTGTAGTGACGTCAGTCAGTGTTCCTCAACCTGTTTACCCCCGCGGTCCACCAACACCACCTGAGAAACTGTGTGGACCATCTGCCAGCTAACCACACACAACCTGAGAAACTGTGTTGACCATCTGCCATCTAACTATACACATTCAGAAACTGTGCGGACCATCTGCCAACTAACTATACACAGTCAGAAACTGTGCGGACCATCTGCCAGCTAACTATACACAGTTAGAAACTGTGCGGACCATCTGCCAGCTAACTATACACAGTCAGAAACTGTGCGGACCATCTGCCAGCTAACTATACACAGTCAGAAACTGTGTGGACCATCTGCCAGCTAACTATACACAGTCAGAAACTGTGCGGACCAACTGCCAGCTAACCACACACAGTCAAAAACTGTGCGGACCATCTGCCAGCTAACTATACACAGTCATAAACTATGCGGACCATCTGCCAGCTAACCACACACAGTCAGAAACTATACGGACCATCTGCCAGCTAACTATACACAGTCATAAACTATGCGGACCATCTGCCAGCTAACTATACACAGTCATAAACTATACGGACCATCTGCCAGCTAACCACACACAGTCAGAAAATATGCGGACCATCTGCCAGCTAACTATACACAGTCATAAACTATACGGACCATCTGCCAGCTAACTATACACAGTCAGAAACTGTGCGGACCATCTGTCAGCTAACTATACACAGTCAGAAACTGTGCGGACCATCTGCCAGCTAACTATACACAGTCAGAAACTGTGCAGACCAGCTGCCAGCTAACCACACACTGTCAGAAACTATGCGGACCATCTGCCAGCTAACCACACACAGTCAGAAACTGTGCGGACCATCTGCCAGCTAACTATACACATTCAGAAACTATGCGGACCATCTGCCAGCTAACCACACACAGTCAGAAACTGTGCGGACCATCTGCCAGCTAACTATACACAGTCAGAAACGATGCGGAACATCTGCCAGCTAACTATACACAGTCAGAAACTATGCGGACCATCTGCCAGCTAACCACACACAGTCAGAAACTATGCGGACCATCTGCCAGCTAACCACACAGTCAGAAATTTAACCGTAGCCTTACATAATTGTCGGATGGCCTAATATACCTGTTGATGCAGTTGGGTGGGGTTTCTGGGATCTATGATACTCATCTTTGAGGTGTTAATCCTAAAGACTACAATCCTGGATGTAAACAACTATCTACACTACCCCGTTACCTGATCAGGCAGACAATTGTGGTAGCTAACCTGTACTTCTCCACGGCCACCAGTGGACCCTGACTCACCAGTTGAAGAACACTGGTGTAAATTGTTAAATGTGTGTGTGTTCATGGGCCTTATTATGGGGAAAACAAGAAATGACCCACTGCCTCCCCAACATGCATGTCGTAAGAGTCGACCGATTGGGGGATACCTTTAAAGTCCAAGAGCATGTACTTGAGAGGTAAGAAACCAAATGTCTGCATTAAAATAAGACAGATATGTAAAACTGTTGTACACGCAACACTCAGATTCTGGAGCAAGATAAAAGTCCAGAAGTTGATAAACAAACAGATCTTTCCACCCACCGGAGTTTACTGCCGGTGGACGTAAAGAAGAAGAAGTAGTAGAAGCAGAAGAAGCAGGAAAAGAAGAAGAAAAAGAAAGAGGAAGAAGAAGAAGAAGAAGAAGAAGAAGAAGAAGAAGAAGAAGAAGAAGAAGAAGAAGAAGAAGAAGAAGAAGAAGAAGAAGAAGAAGAAGAAGAAAAAGAAAAAGAAAAAGAAGAAGAAGAAGAAGAAGAAGAAGAAGAAGAAGAAAGAAGAAGAAGAAGAAGAAGAAGAAGAAGCATGAGGAGACTGTTTCATTCATTCCTGTCCCCCGTCAGTGGGGTATATTGTACAAGTGTCTTCAGTGACTAGACTGTTGGATTCTAATATTGTCCTGTAAAATTGTCCACAGCTGAAACAGCGCTACAGAAAGTTAGCACTGGCCACTCCCCAACAACGATTACTCCCGGACATCAACTCTGGACGCAATGGGCCTTCGTCTCTCTCTCCTTCCCGCTCAAACTCACGCGCACCTTCGCGCAATATTCGCAGCTACGACGACCGGCGAATGTCGACAGCGCCGGAAGAAGATGAGAGCACACACAGATAAAGTTAGTACCGCCCTCGCTGGCTGGCACGCTATGAGTGGCGCTGAGATTTGAATATTTGTGTATTTTTTGACTATGCAAACTTGTGCTTGTACTCATAGCACTGCTCCAGTTTGTTGAGGTATATCATTCTATCTAGAAATAATTTTTACAGACTAGATTCTTCCAGAGTTTGTTATATACTCTCTTGCAAAATAAAGTTAACACTCTTTGAAAGCTGATAATTTGAAAATGACTCACATTCTATGTAATTTTTACATGTTACTTACTTATAGTCAGTAAAACAATAGACAGTAATCATTTTTCATTCGGCTGAAAGAATGTGCTTATATATTAGGTCACTTAAAATGTTTGTTTGTTTTTGAAATAATTGGTTTCACCTTTTGTGCAAGATTCGATCCTCTCACCAAGTTGGACATGGTTAGATGTGAAATAACTGTTGTTATCATCGTGCAGCGACTCATACAATGAGAGATAAATCAGATCTTTGACTTCCTGTAGTCGGTGCAAGAATGTCAAGTGTTGCGCAGACATTGCCTGCCTCCCCATTCACAGCTTATCGACAGCAACAACGTTTCCGGTTAACTGGCTTCAACAGAGATCAGGAGAACCAAAGGTGACGACCATGCAAAGTCAGGATAAGTTTATTCGCACGGCTTATTTCCTAAACCATTTCCAGTCTGCTCAAAGGACCATGGACACATATGCACTGCGAAATTAAAGACTCAATTCTCTTAATTCTGCTCTTACGTCTTTTGAAAGAAGCAAACATACGTCCACTCAGGTCTTTCCAACGTCATCCACTTCCGCCAAACCACACCCAGAACAGACTTCAGTGGGTAAACGTGCACTTCAGTGGGTAAACGTGCACTTCAGATGTCATCGAAAGCAACGGCAGTTATCGTCTTCTCGGATCAGTGAAGATTCAGGAAGGAGAGGCATGATGTCACAATCAGGGTGTACTTATCTGCACCTGGACGATATGCTCACACCCGCACCCGGGAGGATTGGAACTGTGGTTGCTGCAGGATAGTTGTATGGCGAGGAATCACAGAGAATTTCACAACACAGCCGGGTGAACATTACTGCATTGGGATACATATATAGTGCTACATCATTAATTCCAGAGGACGCAAGACTTGTTATAAAGCAATGACTCTTTTCATTTCGACCCCTCTACCATCGCTTTTTGTTTACAAAATAAATTTCTTCGAAACCTACTCCATTCTAAAACACAACTAAATGCATATTGTCAGAAAATCGGGTTGCTGTCTGAGATAAACTACGCGAGTTAATGTAGGTATGCAAACTAACTTTTTTTTCGAGAAAGTTTACTTTCCTCAGTGCTGCATTCCTAAGTTCTAGATTCGTCAATAAACAGACACCATCAAAGTAAATATTCTAGGCACGTCAGTAAACAGACAACATCAAAGTAAGTATTCTCGGCACGTCAGTAAACAGACAACATCAAAGTAAGTACTCTCGGCACGTCAGTAATCAGACAACATCAAAGTTAGTACTCTCGGCACGACAGTAAACAGACAACATCAAAGTAAATATTCTAGGCACGTCAGTAAACAGACAACATCAAAGTTAGTACTCTCGGCACGTCAGTAAACAGAAAACATCAAAGTAACTATTTTAAGCTCGTCTGTAAACAAATTACATCAAAGTCAATATTGTAGGCACGTTGTTGCAAGGTCTTGATGAAAACGAAAGTAACTAGGACCTCCTGAACAAAACAAAAGTCTCCGAGACATTAGGCAGGGACAGTTTTCATAGGCTGTTTGGTTTCCCAGGGTGGGTCTTCATGTCTGAAGATTATTTAGAGCCCGTAACCTGCCGTCGCACATCAGGATATCTGACGGAAGCGACATATTTTATAGGTCATCGTAATTTCTTTGATCGTGTTTTTATTTACAAAGATTCATGCAGCTCACCTCGTGTAACAAGCAATATCTGCCTTGTCCACTCGCCAACACGTTTTCCCCCAGCCAGTCTGCCACGAAATCTGTTTGATAAAACTATTTAGATGTTTGTGAAAAATTGTATGTATGTCCGAACAAGTTACTAGTGAAACATTTACAATAATCTTTTGAGGCCTTTGTTTTAGTTTGCTTTTTAAAATACAATAATTTACAACATACAGCTATTGAAGTTACTCACAGACCTACAAACCATAGACGCAACCGTTCACAGCCAAATTACCCAGGGTACACCAGCAGGTATCCGGTAACAAAGGTTATGCTTCTGATCTGTAATATGTGATAGCTTCGTGTTTATGTTCGTATATGTCCATGAGTGTGCTCAGTTTCATCTTCGTTTATTCTTTCATCGTAGATTTCCTGCACAGAAAGCAAATATATTGTGTATCGATTTTTCGGAGGATGTGGGAACATGTAGACTTGTGAAATATTTCTCACGAACACTTGCCAGCATCCACGCAGTTGTATGTCAGGCAGATATTTGAACCTGTCAACATCTTCCATTCATTTATTGACATCTTTGGGTTGTTTTTATCAAATTCACACAGAGCAGAAAGCCAGTATGAAAGAAACTCGACGATGATTACTAAACATTCAGGGCGAGAGTCCATATCGTTGTTCATTGTGATTTTGTTCTGACACTAAACTTAACTGAACTTAACTGCAAACACCCATGACTACCCAACACCCATGGCTAGCCAACACCCATGACTAGCAAACACTAATTGACTATCAAACACCCATGACTAGCAAACACCCATGACTAGCAAACACCCATGACTAGCAAACACCCATGACTATCAAACACCCATGTCTAGCAAACACTAATTGACTAGCCAACACCCATGACTAGCAAACACTAATTGACTATCAAACACCCATGACTATCAAACACCCATGACTAGCAAACACCCATGACTAGCAAACACCCATGTCTAGCAAACACTAATTGACTAGCCAACACCCATGACTAGCAAACACTAATTGACTATCAAACACCCATGACTAGCAAACACCCATGACTAGCAAACACCCATGACTAGCAAACACCCATGACTAGCAAACACCCATGACTAGCAAACACCCATGACTAGCAAACACCCATGACCAGCAAACACCCATGACTAGCAAACACCCATGACTAGCAAACACCCATGACTATCAAACACCCATGACTAGCAAACACTAATTGACTATCAAACACCCATGACTAGCAAACACCCATGACTATCAAACACCCATGACTAGCAAACACCCATGACTATCAAACACCCATGACTAGCAAACACCCATGACTAGCAAACACCCATGACTATCAAACACCCATGACTAGCAAACACCCATGACTAGCAAACACCCATGACTATCAAACACCCATGACCAGCAAACACCCATGACTAGCAAACACCCATGACTAGCAAACACCCATGACTATCAAACACCCATGACTAGCAAACACCCATGACTATCAAACACCCATGACTATCAAACACCCATGACTATCAAACACCCATGACTATCAAACACCCATGACTAGCAAACACCCATGACTATCAAACACCCATGACTATCAAACACCCATGACTAGCAAACACCCATGTCTAGCCAACACCCATGACTAGCAAACACTAATTGACTATCAAACACCCATGACTAGCAAACACTAATTGACTATCAAACACCCATGACTAGCAAACACTAATTGACTATCAAACACCCATGACTATCAAACACCCATGACTAGCAAACACTAATTGACTATCAAACACCCATGACTAGCAAACACTAATTGACTATCAAACACCCATGACTATCAAACACCCATGACTATCAAACACTAATTGACTATCAAACACCCATGACTAGCAAACACTAATTGACTATCAAACACCCATGACTATCAAACACCCATGACTAGCAAACACCCATGACTATCAAACACCCATGACTATCAAACACCCATGACTAGCAAACACCCATGACTAGCAAACACCCATGACTATCAAACACCCATGACTAGCAAACACCCATGACCAGCAAACACCCATGTCTAGCCAACACCCATGACTAGCAAACACCCATGTCTAGCCAACACCCATGACTAGCAAACACCTATGACTAGCAAACACCCATGTCTAGCCAACACCCATGACTAGCAAACACTAATTGACTATCAAACACCCATGACTAGCAAACACCCATGACTAGCAAACACCCATGACTAGCAAACACCCATGACTAGCAAACACTAATTGACTAGCCAACACCCATGACTAGCAAACACCCATGACTAGCAAACACCCATGACCAGCAAACACCCATGACTAGCAAACACCCATGACTAGCAAACACCCATGTCTATCAAACACCCATGACTAGCAAACACTAATTGACTATCAAACACCCATGACTAGCAAACACCCATGACTAGCAAACACCCATGACTATCAAACACCCATGACTATCAAACACCCATGACTAGCAAACACCCATGACTAGCAAACACCCATGACTATCAAACACCCATGACTAGCAAACACCCATGACCAGCAAACACCCATGTCTAGCCAACACCCATGACTAGCAAACACCCATGTCTAGCCAACACCCATGACTAGCAAACACCCATGACTAGCAAACACCCATGTCTAGCCAACACCCATGACTAGCAAACACTAATTGACTATCAAACACCCATGACTAGCAAACACCCATGACTAGCAAACACCCATGACTAGCAAACACCCATGACTAGCAAACACTAATTGACTAGCCAACACCCATGACTAGCAAACACCCATGACTAGCAAACACCCATGACTATCAAACACCCATGACTAGCAAACACTAATTGACTATCAAACACCCATGACTAGCAAACACTAATTGACTATCAAACACCCATGACTAGCAAACACTAATTGACTATCAAACACCCATGACTAGCAAACACCCATGACCAGCAAACACCCATGTCTAGCCAACACCCATGACTAGCAAACACCCATGACTAGCAA